GAGAGGAGGAGAAGAGAGAGAGAGAGAGAGAGAGAGAGACCAGAGAGATGAGAAAGACAGACAGAACAGAGAGAGAGAGAGACGAGAGAGGAGATGAGAGAGAGAAGAGAGAAAGAGCGAGAAGGAGAGCGAGAGAGAGAGTACTAGGCCATCAGCTATTTCACCTCGTAAATAATTATGTATCCAACTGTCGATGGTGATTTTCGAGTTCAATCGGGGGCGGCTATTAGATGATTAACGCGCAGTTTCTGGGGGCGATCTGTATCGTGTCGGCTATTTCACCATTTATATGGCTAATATGGCTGATACTGCTAAACCCTGCAAGCTTTGAGGTCTATATCTATTTATAGTTTATACCTGAGCGAGATATGTCAATTTCTCGGCCCCGTATGTGTTCAAAGTTTCTGTTTTCCAATTCAGTTTGAGAGCGTGTCAATAAACATCAGCAAAATTTTGCGCGAACCGTCGCGTGCGTGCGTGCGTCCGTGGGCCGTCTGCTGTTCTCAGCTCTCTCTTTCTCTCTCTCTCTCTTCTCCTCTTCTCTTTCTCTCTTTCTCTCTCGATCTCTCCCTCCCTCCCTCCCTCTCTCTCTCTCTTTCTCTCTCTCTCTCTCTCTCTCTCTCCTCCCTCCCTCCTCTCTCTCTCTCTCTTTCTCTCTCTCTCTCTCTCTATCTGTCAACGCGCGCGTGTGTGTGTTTAAGCGTGCATGTATGTGTGTGGTCCCTGTTTATCTCTCCGATACTATAGACTTCCCCTGTATTTTTGTATGAAACTGAAGTATAAAATGAAACATTTTTCTAATTAAAACCTCTAAGTAAATATCTAACCATTTTACGATTTTCTTTCACGTTTATAATATTGAGTATAGTTTGGTATGCGATCTCACTTCGCACGAATGCCTCGTACTTACTGTACATTAGCATCTCCTTATGCAGGCACGGTACGTTTTACATGCTTTTTACGTCGTGATCGAGCGATAGAAAATTGCATTTTATTGCGGTAATGAGACAATGGAATGAATCATGTAGAAAATTTCACAAAAGAGTCACGAATAATATATTCGAAATTTAAACAGCGTCGAGCCACTGAAGAAGACTAAAAAGTGCGTCGAACGTTTGACGGGTACACGTCGATATAAACACGCCAGAATTAAACGCAGTAGCATGCATGCAGTGCGGGAACATTAGGTTGTCCGCTAAGGGACGCCTATAGTGTCTCCATCTTACTGTCTTCCACACGTCAACAGCTTCCGCGTAGCACAGGAAGCATAAATTCAGTATAAACCCGAACATGCTACGTAATCAACCCCTCATGCGTACCACACCGCTCACCCTCCTACCCAGCTCATGCCCCCCCAACTACGGAATAGCAGCGCCACCAGCGCTACGTCCTGCAAGCTGGGCGGCCGTCGAACACGATAAACGTTACGTAACAACTGCTCGTGTACATAGTCAGCCGCGAATACATATGTGTCGTCTCACGGTGACGTCACCGGCGGAAGCTGGCTGCAGTAGCTGACTATGCGTGCGCTGGAAGCAGCGGCCGCAGCATCGCAGCATCAGCCGGTCATGCGCACTACGCGCGCAGCAATTGATTTTGTGCCCGAAGACGTAGAGAGATGGCGGATGCAGAGCTCCGGATAAGGATACCTAACATTTGACGTGTTTTGTGCCCTGTACCGAGGCCTCACTATCGCTACCTTCCCCCGTCGACAGTGTACGTCTCCGTGACAGCCATCGGCGGATACTCTCGGTAAGATTTCGACGACGGAACGAGGCGGAGGTGCGAACAAGGAATGCGTCTGTTTCCATCCATAGCCGAGGCTGGCACGGTTGGCTGACTACGGAGCGAGAGCATAAGCGAGCGATCGGAATATATGCGGCGCTGTGGTCGGCTAGAGGGTATGTGAACACGTAAGGGCAGCGGCGGTGATGTGTTTGTGATATACACGTAAGCTAATTCTCAATACCGTAGCTGCGAAGATCGTACTTCTAGATGTCAGAGACGGCGAAGCTGCATTTTCTGCTCGGGTTTAACGCGTGTAATATAGCACGCACGGAGTAGGCAGCGCTACTACGTGTACGTCGTACAGACAGCTCCATCGGGTAGACAGTAGCCAGAACCATCGTCTAGTAACGTTCAGCGCCCGCCTGTGCGTCACTGGAGGGGTTCTGAATCGCCGGTGTGAAGTGTACGTGTACGCGAACACTCCCACCCCTTCAGCTGAACAAATAGGGAAGCCATGACGTCGTATACGTGAGAAGCATGCGCGAGAGGTTTGGAGCTGAACTAGCATTTTTATTGCTTAGATTCGCCATCTTATCGTGCATGAATGGCGGTTTTAGCAATTTGTGAATGATATAGCGAACATGGATTGTCCTAGTTCGCAGCAGCAGTGGACAATTGACTGTGATGTATTTTGTCACAATGTATATATAATACAACACGCAGAAATATATACATAATTATACTAGTATATATTCTTTCTCTCCCTCTTTCTCTCTCTCTCTCTCTTTCTCTCTCTCTCTCTCTCTCTCTCTCTCTCTCTCTCTCTATACTATTTATTATAGTAGAGATGAGAGCAGAGAGAGGAGAGAGAGAGAGGCGACCCCCTCTCTCTCTCTCTCTCTCTCTCTCTCTCTCTTCCTCTCTCTCTATATAATAATACTATATATAGTATCCTATATTATATATATATATATAGAAGAGGAGTGAGAGAGAGAGAGAGAGAGAGAGAGAGAGAGAGAGAGCGAGAGAAAGAGAGAGAGAGAGAGAGACTGTGTGTAATAATTTAAAATATTGTAACAGTGTAGCTAATATTTATAGGCTCTGTGTTTGTGTGCTATAGTCTACATTCAGCTTCAGATGTGCATCATCTAGCAATCATGTACTGTACGTGGTTTTTATCTGGATTAGGTACGAGTAACAAACGTAATTGTAAACATCCTGGTGCTGCTATGGTAGATTTCAGCTCCAATGTCCCCACAATGTTCGCCGGTACTTTTCACCGCATGTGAAGGGCAGTTGACAAAGATTAACAAAAATGCCACAACTACACGTATGTGAAATTAGTAGAGTAATAATTGAGAGCTGCGAGAAAGCTCGAGCTGAGGCGATAGACAAGAGACAACGTGCTACAAAGATTTTCTCTTTGTCGCACGAGTTTAAAGGTGCAAAGCTCTTGCTCTCAAGTCTCTCATTACATTATCTTCAGACATTGGTATTGAAACTGGTAATTTTTTAACGGGGATTCACGAATTTCATTCATAGGCCGCCTGCAGGAAAACTGGTTGTGCGTATAGTTAGTTACTCCCTCTCGGCCGATCTCTCAGAGCTGTGTATGCACAGTCGAACCATTTATTTTGGTGGACTCGGCGGCATTACATGCAGAGCAAATAGATTTGCATGGATGCAGCTTGTGGAAGTTTGGCTTCGCACAACGATATTGACAGGCAGCAGGTGTGGGGAGATGATAACGCGAGAGTGCCCACCATCAGGCCAGCTAGCATTATCACAACATATCATGCGCTTAGCCCCACTCGAAACCAATATGTGATTAGTTGCATATATAGGGGAAGCAACATTTTCAGCGGGTTATCGCCTGACCTGCTAATTCGTAATCATTTGAGATCTGGAGAATCCCATGAGTCATTATCCATAGAGATGATGAGGAACTGATCTGCAATGCTAAGAATGGTTCAAGCAATTAAGGTGCATACAGCAGTCGCCAAATATGCGTGATTGCCTTGAAATCCATCAAGCTCTCTGCGGAAAGGAAGGTTCATGGTCAGTAGATATATTGTGTGCATGAAATAGCGTGCGTGAAATAATGAATCTAAAATGGATTGTATACAATAAATAAATTTAGGTATAATTACACTGCACACGCGGGCCACGCTCTGCCCGATTTGGCTTCATATAATTTGTGTTTATGTTGTGTGCACGTGCATGAGTGCACATGTGAGGGTGTGCATGCGTGCATGCCTGTTCTTGCATGGATTCACGTGCGCGTGTGTGACTGTGCATGTGTTAGGGATATGGCTACACAAAAGTAATGATTGACCGACAAGATAATTTTTCAGCATGATATCAATTCTTCAATTGATGGCATATAACTCAGGAATATGCATATTTCGATTCCACTATATGCTTTATCGACAAGGGGTTTGTGCATAAGTATCAGAAGTAGATAATAGGGAATTCCCTATTATCTACTTCTGATATTTATGCATGTGTGAGCATCAGACAGTAAGTGTCATAATTATGCATGTTTATAACCATAATAACAATTTTATTTATAACTGCAATATTGGCTCCATAATAAATATTCAATACGATTTACGCTGTGGTCGAAATTTATATAGACGTTACAGCATCAGTAAAACATACATCAATACGTGAAATGACGAGTTTGTCGACTTTATTGGTGTAGGTAGGGTGTCATTTTGCTTCTGGGATATCGATCGAACTTGTCTACAGTGAATGGTGTCAGCTCGCGTGCACGGTAAACAAGACGCACACGTTTGATTACTGATTACCTAGCGTATAATAAAACATGTACGAGCAACTTGTTCTGGTGACGTTTCTTTTTTTTAAATGGGGAATTTCTTTAAAAGAAATTGCATGTTAGCACCATAATTAGAAAGGTTGAATGATTGTAGGCTCTAATGGTATGATAACTACATCCAATAGACGTAGCGAGCACAAGGGAAAATCACGAGCAGCATGTAAGAAAAGTAAACGGAAAAAATGTGTTGGGTTGACTCAACGTATTAGATTACGTATTTTCTAACACATTGCCATGGTATTATTTTGGTGAAACGCCAACAGCTATTCTGACATTTACACCGTAGGAGGTGCAAGCGGCTGAGAGCCAGGGATGTTAGTCAGACATGCTTTTATGCACACGTTCTTATGTATTTATTGCGTAGAATTGTTAAAGGTCGCGCGTGAATTTATTCGTGCATCACAAGCTTGTGAAAATCTTCAACCACGATCACTACTAGCAGAGAAACACAATGAATTCTCAGGTCCTCATTTATGATGCTGGACATAAATGATAGCCTCCGCGGTTTATACATATATAGTGCATTAGCAAAATGCGATAATGATATTAAGAATGTAAAGCGTCTGCCTTCAAAGACTAATTGCCAGATCTGGCCACGCTAGATTCCAAAACTAATCTTGTGACCGGTTATGGGATCCTTTTACACACGCACGCACGCACGCACGCACGCACGCACGCACACACAGACACACACACACACACACATATATATATATATATATATACAGAATAATCATAAAAAGTTATTATATATCGCTTAGATCGTGAGTACGAGTTATAGACTAGACAGTGCGTTTACGTTGACAGTACACCCGCTGCCAACATATCCTATACCAGGGAGTCTATAATAGGGAGCCATAGTAGGGAGTCTATAATAGGGAGCCATAGACTCCCTGCCTATACCCAGTGTAGTGATGCATTCATGAAGCCCCCATACTCGGCATCAAGCCATGAACAATGTATTTGATAGATTAGCATGATGGGTCATTCATTCACTTGTTACATGGGTGTGTTTCTTTATTCTATATAACTTAACTGCAATTTTTTACTCTTAGTTAATGGCGTTTAGAATTTGAAAAAACCACGCAAAGAACATATAGATTATTTCTCTTTCTTCCCGTAATAAGTAAGGCTGTATATCCTGCCATAATTATATAATTTTTTTACCTCGATTTTGAAATGGACCATTCCCAAGAGGGCAGTATAAGCAGTTAGTGTGATTAAATCCATTAATTATACCCTACAATAATCGGTGAGATGCAGTACGTGTGTAGTTTCCTGAATATACAGCATGCAACACGACACACAGGTATACCTGCCTCGTTATATTGTCAATATAATTATAGTCATACTGATTGAATCCAATGCATTGATCAGCAATAGGCAGTGTATCGATAATAGAATAGCAGTTCTCATAAATATTCGACAGCATTATTTAATTGTCGTTGCTGCATGGCTGCACGCGCCCAGAAAGAATGGGTCCACATTTTGCCGTAACTCTATTCCTAAATAGTGTTTTTGCTGCGGGCGTCTGCGAGTGCTGTGATAATCATTTAGTCAGACGACGCCGTGGGGCTTTGCAGATCTGTTTAGCAGGGCCGACGACCCTTGGGGCTGCATTATCATAGAGCAAGGTGACATTTAAGTTTATTCTGCTCTCTGTAAAACAAACCTTTACGTGTTTAGCGCTCCCCGCGATTGCGGGTATATAGATGCGGTTCATATATATGGTTGTGCGGGAGTGCGCGCTGTAGAGTGATCACGATTATGTGGTCATTCACTGCCGCTTGCATCGATGCAGGCACTAGTATAGCACCCGCCAGCACAATCACCGGCAGCAGCATTGATCTGGCTGCAGGCGCTAGCAGCTACGTCAACATCACCATCGTCGTCGCCATTATCATCATCGTGGGCAGCAGCAGCAGCAGCAGCAGCAGCAGCTTTGTTCTAGTTGCTGCCAGCTTTTATCTGGCACTAGTTTAGCGTCAATGTCATCAGCATCTTCATCCTCCTTCTCATCATCATCACCATCGTCATCGTCATCATCATCAGCAGCAGCAGCAGCAGCAGCAGTAGAAGTGGCAACAGCAGTAGTAGTAGCAGCAGCAGTGGCAGTAGCAGCAGCGGCGGCAGCGGCGGTGGCGGCGGCGGCAGCAGCACTACAACCACTATCACCGGCAGCAGCAGCAGCGTTGTCCTAGATGCTGCCAGCTCTAATTCAGCAGCAGCATCAGTGTCATCATCATTGTCATCATCACCATCAAAAGCATCATTATCATTATCATCATCATCAGCAGCAGCAGCAGCAGCAGCAGCATCACCGACACAAGAAGC